AGGCTTGAACAGGGTAGATGGCCTGTACAAAAAGAGGTACTTTAGGAAAGGCAATATGGCCAGAAAACCAACTGGAAGTGTATTCCAATGGAACAGATACGAAGAATCAAAACTGTAGACAAAGGATCCTCTAAAACTGGAATTAGAGAAAGACAGGTGATAAAAACATTACAAAGAAAAACCTGGTAATACTTGATAACTGGATGGGTAGAAAAGAGACAAGAATAAGTCTATGTTTACAAACTGGCTACTAACTGAAATGTGAAAAACACAAAGAGCACAATAAGAATGAATTTTGACATGCTGAAATCCAGGGACAGTGGGACATCTAAGTGACAACAAAAAGCTGAACAGGACAGCACAAAGGAGAGGGCCCTGTGATATGCTGGCACAAACCTGCCTCCAGAGGACAACAGGTTGGTTAACTCCACAACTGCAGGGACCAGGTCCACCCTGTTCCCCGCTGCATACCCCATTACGCCTCCCACAGACGAGCACTCACGAAATATCTTCTGAATAAAGTATTACGATCCAACCCAAATTTTTCCACCCTATCCTCAAGGATATCACAACTCTGCCAAATGCCTTGATGAAATTCATACCCACTCTCTTTACTATATTCTTGCAGGTGCCATGCAACCCTACTGAAGAAAGAAAGGAGCTCAATTTAATGGAAATGACTTCAATAAACCAATCCTAACACTCCCAAAAGTACTGATCATGAACAACCTAGAGGGATGTTACACATGTCAGGTTCAAAGATTCTGTCCTTGACACTGCCCCATTCAGTCATTTTTAAATGTTTTGGTTGAGGACTAGAAAGTCTTCATTATGATCATTTATTTATTTCAGTTATGTGTCAGGCACCCACACATAGGTATGAATTCCTAAAGAGCTTCCAGAAAGATCAAAAATAAAAAATCAGCTCTGACAAAGTTATGACTGCAAAGAGCCTGTTATATTCTATAGAATTTCAGAAATGATTGACAGCATAGGTGAATTTGATTTTGGACTGTCCGGTATCCATTGCCCTTGTTCTGGAAACCGTACTTCGTTTTCCTGTGGTGAATCGCTCCCAGCCCACTCTCAGCTCAGTGGTTTGGGTAGGGCCGCACAGGTGGGCACAGGACCGTGTCCAGTCAGTCAACACATCCTTTCTCCCTGGTTACAGTGTGTGGCTCAGGGATGGACAAGTAAGACCCAGGCCTAGGTCACTCAGCCTCGTCCATGTCCTTGGCCACAGTGATTGATTTCAGGATGGCCACTTGACCCAATTCGGGTCAATAAGAGTTAAGACCAGGGCTTTACTGGGACCGTTAGAAAACAGACTTGCTCTTTTCTGCTGGGACTGTTAGCAGTAAAGATGCTGTGGAACCTGGAACTACCACGGCCACCTGTGGCACCAAGAAATGAAGCCAATATAGATGAAAGCGGAGTCAAAAGGCAGAGACAGAGTAGATCCTAATGACTCTGATCTGGCCATGTCTAAAGCTAGCCCTGCTGCGGGTTTTTCAGTCTCTGGGCCAATAAAATCCTATTTTTGCTTAAGCCACCTTGAATTAGATTATGGCCTTTCAGTGGAAGGACTGCTGGCTAATCTAATTGCCCAAGCCGCCCTCACTTTGAGAACAAATGCAGTAAAGAGGCAGCCCCTCCACTTCTTTTACACTTCTGTTATTTTGCTATATACATAATACAAAAATAGCCCATGTGAAATTTTTGCTTACGAACTTATATTTGCAACTGAGGACACCAGAGCTCACTTTTTTCTAACCTGCCATAACGTGAGCGAACCAGAAAGATAAGCAGGCTACATAAGCTATACTGGGAACAATCTGAGCTCTAGTCAGCTTGTCACAAACACGATGAAGCTAGATTTATGCTGTAGCACTGAAGATGCCACATTCTAAACTGCTGATGTGAGCAAAAATCCACGGTGCAGAATGTGATGCTGGGAGATAACAAACAGCAGAGACTGCAAATCGAACATTCTATAAACAACAGCAAAGAGCATTAGCTCCCAGGCTGCAATTGCAAGAAACTACAGGTATAATTCCCTAACCCTTTGCAATGCCAATTGCAAGCATCTGCAAAGAAAAACACATGGGGAGAAAAAGCAACCCGTCCCACAAATACAGCATGAATAAATGGTATGGAGGAGAAAAAAAATGAACAAGCAGTTTTGTGAGTGAACTTTTTTCCATTCAGGGCCAAGCCCTGAACTTCTATATTCTTAATATTCTTTTCATTTGACTTATATTTGATATATACAACAGGTTGGGATAGTCATTCTACTTACATATGTTTTCTGTCTCCCCAGCTAGAGTGTGAGCGCCTTGAAGTCCAGGACCTTATTGTTCCAGAGCTAATACAGTGTCTGATACAAAGTAGATGTTCAGAAAATGTTTGTTGGAAATTATCAAAATGTTAAACACTCAGGTAGCATTGAGTTGACTGCATAATGAATAATCCTGCCTTCCTTGTTTAAAATTAATAACAGTTACCATTTACTGAATAGCTCCTATGTGCCAAATGATGTGCTAAAACCTATATATAAATGATTTACCTCACTTGTTTGAACTGAGTTTATCCTAACCAGGAAGTACAGCTAAATTAAGAGGAAAGATCATGCTTCTTCCTTACTCTTCCCCGCTATCATACTTAAACAGAAATAGAACTAATGCATGAAGGTTCAGGGTGACACATTTTAGCTCAACCAAAGGAATATATTCTACAAGGAGCAGAGTTGTTCTGCAAAGACAATGGGCTGCCTCTGGAGAAACTGGTTACTGGAGGATACCAAGTAGCATTTCAATTAGCCAGGACATCACAGAGTGATGCAAGCATGGAAGGAGATGTTAATATGGTCAACCAGAATTAGGAAAGTGCCCTGGGCTCCACCCATAAGCCCGTGAGTCTGGAGAAGTAGCTGATGAAGTGTGAGCAATGCCAGAGCCTACAATTCCTATCTTTCCTTATCTATAAGCCTGGGCTACCTCCCAAGATACACTACATTCCCTTATGTTTCATTGTCTTAAAATTTTTATAATGTTGGCATTCATCTGGTCTAGGAGGTAGATCTGAGTGTACTTTTGGTGTCTAAACATCTAGCAAAGCACAGGACTGTATAATATAGGAGAAAAGGTAGCAAAGTAAATAATCCCCCTACTACCATGAGACCTTGACTCTGTCCCTTCCCACGCTGTCATACTGATTTTACAGGTTATGTTGTAAAAATGAAAAGGAACAGAAATTGAGAGAAGATTGCATAAAGCTTCACTGGGATTTCTTTGCAACTGTTTAAGTCTTAATCAAAAATACATACCTCTAAGACATGTTTGAGGCATTGTAGTACAAAATAGTACCTTAGCTTGTTTTGCTTCCAGCTCTTCGACTGCTTGATAATGATTAAATCTCCCAAGTGGCTGTTGGCCAGGGAATAGCACGTATAAAGGTCCAGCAGTAGAAAAAGCAAAATGGGGTTGGCCTAATTTGAAAAGATACATACACTCCAGTGTTCACAGAAGCTATGTGCAATAGCCAAGACATAGAAACAACCCAAGGGCCCATCAACACGTGATTGGTTTAAGAAGATGTGGTGTACGTGTGTGTACACACACACACACACACACACACACACACACAATGGAATACTACTTGGCCATAGAAAAGAATGAAACGTTGCTATTTGTGGCAACATGGATGGATATAATATCAAATATTATATGATGTCACTTGTATGTGGAATCTAAAAAAATAATACAAATGAATCTATATACAAAACAGAAACAGACTCATAGACATAGAAAACAAACTTACGGTTACCAAGGCGGATAAATTAGGAGTATGGGATTAACAGACACAAATTACAATGTATAAAATAGATAAGCAACGAGGATTTACTGTACTGCACAGGGAACTATATTTAATATCTTATAATAACCTATAATGGAAAATATACATATATATATGACTGAATCATTTTGCTATACACTTGAAGTTAACACAATATTGTCAATCAACTATATTTCAATTTTTTAAAAATGGGGTTGGGAAACTGGGAGAGATTCAGAGTGGCTGAAACTCAGACTATAAAGTGAGGGAGTAGAAAGATGTAAAAATGGAAAGAATAGCAAGGCCAAATCAGGAAGAGCCTTGTTAAGGAATGTTTGATTCAAACTAAGGGCAACAGAAAGTCACTGAAAGACTTTAAACAGGGGAGAGAAATGGTCAGCTTTGCATTTCAGAAATCTTGTTTCAATTACTACATAGATAATAGATTGAGAGGGAGGAGAGGAAGAAGAGTTAGGAGGCTGTTATAATAACCCAAGCAAGGGAAGATGGTGGCTTAGACTGCAGTGGTAGCAGTGGGATTAGAGAGGAGTGGACAGGTTCAATAAATAACTCAGTAAGTAAAATCACCAGGGCTCAGCAATGGGCACACATGGAACATGAGGGAAAGAGAAGAGTCAAGGATGATCTTGAGATTTCTGGCACAGTGAATTGGGTGGTGATGGTACTATACACTAAGAGAAACACAGGATAGTGGGCATGAGGCAATATGATTCAGTTTGGAACATGTTGTGTTGGAGATGACCACGTGATACCCAAGTAGTTGACAGGTCCGAGCTGGAGATATAAATGCTTATAGCATTAATAATAAGGTACTCATTACCATACAGACCATAACTGAAACCATGGGAAATGCAATATTATTCAGGGAAAATGTATAATCCAACCCACAAGGTCAGGGCAGGAGTCTGAAAAGGCAACAATACCTTAATACCTTACTATTACAGTTGACACTTCACAGTTTACAGAGGGCATCGCACCCTGAACTAGGTTAGGTCGGTGTCTTGGAATATAAGTGAAATACAAATTCATCCCTGTAGGAAAAGTGACCCCCATAGACCCAACCATAACAAGCGGATCAGAGGTCTAACAACCCATCACAGCCTGAGAGCATCCTAAGGTGCGGATTCTAATACCATAACACTCACCTGTGGACAAGGCCTCCTCCCGAACCTCGACCTCACTGGGCTGATGAATATTCCAGGATGTTTTGGGAAGTGAAGAGATTTCCTCAGGCGATGCTAATTTCACCATATCCATGTGATTGCTCTGGAACTGGTACCGTGGGATAAAGCAGGTTTTGCCTTGTTGGAAAATGTCCTTGATGATCTCTTCTGTCTCAATTTCATCTTGCATGCTCAGAAAGATGGAGATTCTTTTGGACTTTTGATATTGACTATGGGTAAACACCTAAATGGGAAATGATGGCGGTTATAATTTCCAAGGTTATACTTTTAAAAAGTAGTGGCTCCCCTTAACAGTTTTAATGCTTTCTCCCTTTTCTCTCAGCCTTCTCCAACCTCTTTATCCAAAAACAAACAAACAAAAACAGCAGACTAGTATATAATAGGTCAAATAATACGCATCCTGAAGCCTGACTTGAACTTCTGGACCTAACACTTACTTCTCTGATCCCTTTACACTTCTCTGGCACACCTACTCTGGCAGTGTGACAGTTCATTAAAAAGTCACTGTGAGGGGCTTCCCTGGTGGCGCAGTGGTTGAGAGTCCGCCTGCCGATGCAGGGGACACGGGTTCGTGCCCCCGTCCGGGAAGATCCCACATGCCGCGGAGCGGCTGGGCCCGTGAGCCATGGCCGCTGAGCCTGCGCGTCCGGAGCCTGTGCTCTGCAAAGGGAGAGGCCACAGCAGTAAGAGGCCCGCGTACACCAAAAAAAAAAAAAAAAAGTCACTGTGAGGCCCTGCTGTCTACATCAGGAATTCCAAGCTTGAACCCCATCTACCCGTTCTAGCAGACTTCAATCCTGTCACCCACTTCCCCGAGAGTCTCTTCTTTATTTTAACTCTGAAGCTCTCACAAGCTTCTTTACTCCCTGGATGGTCAGGCTTCTCTCCTGCCAAATTCTACCCATTTAAGCCCAACTCAAGGCCTAACTTTTCCTGACTCCTAGAGAACCCTTACTATGTTTAGAGTCACTATACAACCTAACAATTATGTGTTGTCATAATTTGATTATTAATTGTTTGGTGTGCCCTAAATGTAGCATCCTGGCCAGTCTGTAAACTCCCCGTGGCGGACAACATGCCATACAGTTCTCTTAGCTCTACCCACCTCCGTCCCATCTGCTATAAGCTCTTCTGTTCAAATGAATGTTAAAATGTTCACAAAGACGGAAGGTAGGGGGATCCTGGAGAGGCAAAGGCCCTCTAAGAGCAAGCGCCATGTTGTAAAGAAGGTGCACCTGGGGGAAAGCATCCCTTTGTTCTCAGTTCAATTAATTAATTAATTAATTTTTTGGCCGTACTGGCGTGCGTGATCTTAGTTCCCCGCCTAGGGATTGGACCCGTGACCCCTGCAGTGGAAGCACGGAGTCTTAACCACTGGACCGCCAGGGAAAGTACTCCCTTTGTACTCAGTTTAATCATTCATGAGGCAGAAGAAACGGGCTGAGCTTTGCTCACATTAGAAATTTTAATAATCTCAGAACTTCCCCAGTCTCAGAAGTTAGCTCTTAGTTCTCTTTTTTTTTTCTTCCTTTTCTGTTCTTCCCCGTTCTCCGAGCTAAGAAGGAAAAGTTACTGCAGAAGTGACTTATAGGGCTTTCCTGGTAGTGCAGTGGTTAAGAATCCACCTGCCAATGCAGGGGACACGGGTTCGAGCCCTGGTCCGGGAAGATCCCACATGCCACAGAGCAACTAAGCCTGTGCACCACAACTACTGAGCCTGCGCTCTAGAGCCCGCGAGCCACAACAACTGAGCCCATGTGCCACAACTACTGAAGCCCGTGTGCCTAGAGCCTGTGCTCCGCAATAAGAGAAGCCACCACAATGAGAAGCTGACGCACCACAACAAAGAGTAGCCCCAGCTCGCCACAACTAGAGAAAGCCCGCATGCAGCAACAAAGACCCAACGCAGCCAAAAATAAATAAATAAATTTATTTTTTTTTAAGTGACATAAATATGAGTGCCAGAAAGACACAGGCACAGAAAGTCAAGTTATTCCTAATAAAAAGGGACACAGAAGTTAAGTAAATAGAGCACACCAAACCAGTGCTAATGAAGGAAGTTATCTCTACCTTTCCGAGCAGTTACATAGCTATTATCAGGCCTGAAGTGGGCAAAGCAAATGGAACTGTGAAACCCAGATGTTGGGCAGATCTGAGGCTTTTGGCGCCCAAGTACTTTCTGGGAAAGTTAAATGTCTATCTTGTTCTGTTTAAAGCAGAACACAGTAAATCAGAAGCTGAATAAGCAGTAATAAACATCAGTTAAAATTCAGTGTGAGACTATGTATACACACTTATCTTTCTTTCTTCCTCAAATCTCACTTATATGACAGTAAAAAAGCACACAAAAAAGAAAGCCATGATAGCCCTGATAACAAGAGGATAGAGATTTGACTAGTTTCTGCAAGACAGAGTGGGTGGGACAGTATTTACAGACAAAAGAGTAGCAGATCACAACACTTGGGGAACATGGGTGTAGGTCAGACAGAATCCATTCTTCCCATGGAATTCCAAAGTGACTAAAAAGCAAAGGAAATCCCCATTAGCTATCACACCTTCCTTCATAAATATGTACAGACAGTAATGGTTCATCAAACATTTTAGAAAGCCAAAACACAAATCAGAAGGATTTTTTAAAAGGGGAATTGATACAGCCACTATGGAGAAGAGTACCTTAAAAAACTAAAAATAGAACTACTATATGATCCAGCAGTCCCACTCCTGGGCATATACCCAGAGAAAACCATAATTCAAAAAGACACATGCACCCCAATGTTCATTGTAGCACTACTTACAAGAGCCAGGACATGGAAGCAACCTAAATGTCCATCAACAGAGGAATGGATAAAGAAAATGTGGTACATATATACAATGGAATATTACTCAACCGTAAAAAGGAACGAAATTGTGCCATTTGCAGAGACGTGGATGGACCTAAAGACTATCATACAAAGTAAGGCAAAAAGAGAAAAACAAATTAATGCATGTATGTGGAATCTATAAAAATGGTATAGATGAACTTATTTGCAAAGCAGAAACAGAGACACAGATGTAGAGAACAAACATATGGATACCAAGGGGGAAAGGGGGAGGGGGTGCGAGGAATTGGGAGATTGGGGTTGACATATATACACTACTATATATGCAACAGATAACTAAGGTGAACCTACTATATAGCACAGGGAACTTTACTCAGTGCTCTGTGGTGACCTAAATGGGAAGGAAATCCAAAAAAGAGGATATATGTATAAGCATGGCTGATTCACTGCTGTACAGCAGAAACTGACATAGCAGTGTAAAGCAACTATACTCCAATAAAAATAAATAAATAAATAAATGAAAATAAAAGAGGAGGTGGGTGGAGTGATCCAGCAGGAAAGTGAGATCATTATAATTCAGAGAACATGGATTTTTAAAAATTCTAATTAGTTTTCTCAGACAAGTTCAAGAAGATAGATGCATCTATAAAACAACAACAGGCTGCTTTGGAAAGAAAGCAATCGGAGAATTAAAAAATACCTGGAAATTAAAATTAACATTACCAAAATTAAAACAATTCAGGAGAAAGCCTCAAGTAGGGGGAAAAGACAAAGACGTGGGGAAAATAAGAAAAAATATTAAGAGACATAGAAGATCAATCTAGGATTTTTATTATTTGATTAACAGGAATTGAAGAAAGGAAAAGAAGTAATCAAAGACATAATAGGTAAAGATACTAGTCTTCAGATTGAATGGAGGTCATGGATGCTGAGCAGAACAAGGAAAAATAATTTTAAACTTGAAATTCAAACTCTCAATCAGGTAAAAACATTTCCTAATGTATAAAGTATTAAAGAGTTTACCCTCATAGATATTTTCTCCCCAAAAGTTACTTGAGAATACAATCTAATAAGATAACAACAACAACAAAAGGGGCTTCCCTGGTGGCTCAGTGGTTAAGAATCTGCCTGCCAATGCAGGGGACACAGGTTCGAGCCCTGGTCCGGGAAGATCCCACATGCCGCAGAGCAACTAAGCCCATGCGCACAGCTACTGAGCCTGCGCTCTAGAGCTCGCGAGCCACAACTACTGAAGTCCACGCGCCTAGAGCCCGTGCTCTGAAACAAGAGAAGCCTCCACAATGAGAAGCCCGTGCACCCCAACAAAGAGTAGCCCCCGCTCACCACAACTAGATAAAGCCTGCACACAGCAACGAAGACCCAACGCAGCCAAAAATAAAGAAAGAAAATAAAGAAAAAGAAGAAGGAAGGAAGAGGTCTAAGAGAGAAGATACTGGATTCAAAAAACAGCCCTAACTTAAAAGCAGAGAAAGAGGAACCCCAGGGCAATGGCTATAGCACAGACTCAAAGTCGACCAGACCAGAGGGAGCAGTGGACTAGAGTGCTTTCAAGAAGAAAGTGGATTTATTTTAACAAACAAAATGAAAAAGAATCTATTGATAAGGCATATTCTTATTTTGCCAAAAAGGAAAAACAAAGACAATCGGAAACTTGAACAGAGAGCTAAATTAGAAATTTATACTCCAAATAGGAAAATTAAGAATGCCATAATTTCAAGCAATTATAAAGCATAAGAAATAAGAAAGTATTTGATATTAACACTTGAAATATTCCCCTCCTAGCCACACACGTCTAGTGACATTGAATTGTATATCCTTTTCTTACACATTCAATGATACAATTTGGTTCTGTAGTGAACACTATATATATAACCACAATACTGTAAATACTATTTACTTGAATTTCAAGTTTGGAAATCAGGCACAGAAAATGCTCAGTAGACTCATTACAGTTACAGAACAGAGCACAAATATTATAAAAACTTGGCAATGTAAATATAACGATAAAGGTGTCACAAATTGGCAGATAGAATGGAAAACAAAATGAGTACTTGGCACTAATTTCCTCAACTTATTTGTTGAGGAGTCAAGATATGGCATAAAGTATCATTTCTTTACCATACATTACTTTTCTGATAAACTTGTAAATTATTAAAAAAGTGCTGTGTCAATAAGAATAAATTTGCCTTTTTTTAAATTATTGGGAGAAAGGCATCATTTAATACCTTTACTGTATTGAACATGTACTATGGCAAAACATTGTTCTAGTCCCAGTATGTTGATATTTTGGGCCTTGATCCATTGGTTGGTCATGAAATCAACAGTAGGTTACAATCAGCAAATGCAATAGAAAATATTAAAGTTTGTTGTATATAGTAAGAGTTGTCAAACACCTGGTTGTGAAACAGATTTCTTACATGAGTACATTTATTTGTATGGAATAAAATTTGTTTATTACTGGGAGTCATGGGTCTGCTTTTGAATTTTTCTCTCTCTGATGCCAGCTCTCAGTTGTCAATCTACTGATATCAGTGGTTCTGTCTCTATATGGCTACTATTCCCACCTGGAGTTTTTTTTAATTCTAATCTACTATAGACAAACCAAACTGAACTCATCTTTATTGTCCCCATGCCCCTCCAAAATCTGCTCCAACTCTTACCTTCCTTGTGGCTAGTAATGTTCAAAACCCTTTATCCGCAGCTCTAAAGTTTGGAATCATAGGTGGTTCCCCTTTTCCAGTACTCTCTCATCTCCATCCAGTTAATTGCCAAGTCCCGCTGATTCTCACTACATAGTCTCCCATTCACCTGCTTTTTCCCCTCACCTTCACTGCCCATGCCCTCGTTTACATCTTTATTACCTCTCACCCAAATTATCACAACAGCCCCTTACTGGTCTCCACGTATTTTTTTTCTCATTCTTCCACCCCCAACCCATTTTCCAAAAATGCTGCCAATATTCTCTTCCTAAACGATATATCAAAAATATGTGAAGCACTCAATGCATCCCTTAACACACTGCTTCAACCTTCAAAATAGTGTCAAGGATGACAAAATAATGTCAAGGATGACATTATCCTTTTACAGATAAGGAACCAGAGGCTCAGAAAGGTTAGAGGACTTGTCCAAGGCCATATGCAGCTAAAACACAGTGGAGCCAGATTAAATCCAGAGCTAAAGAGTTCCAAAACCCATGTTAAATTGTCTTTCCTTCTCTTGCCAAAATATTCCTGCACATGTTCACCCACCCTATCTTCCCTTCACCTGACAAAATTCATCTTGTACTACAAAATATTTCTCAAACTTCTCCCTATAGAAAGAAAGCCTTCTGATTCCCCCTCCCCTAAGCTAGGTTTCTACAGCTTTGGTGTTTACCTTTACCCTATATCTCAAAGCACTGCAATTCTTTATTCACATGTCTGTTTCCTCTTGAAGACTCTCTGCTCCTTCAGAGTAACAATCCTACCTTAATATTTATTTATTTGGCTGCGCTGGGTCTTTAGTTGCAGCACGTGGGATCTTTTAGTTGTGGCATATGGGCTCTTAGTTGCAGCATGCAGGATCTAGTTCCCTGACCAGTGATTGAACCCGGGCCCCCTGCATTGGGAGCGCAGAGTCTTAACCACTGGACCACGAGGGAAGTCCAATAAGCCTATCTTTTTCATTCCTACAACCCACTACATAGCAAAGTATGGCCCACGGTATGAGTTCAATATATGTGAATTAATTAGCTAAACTTTAAGCACCTAGAGAGTAAGGATAAGATCCTATACTTCTCTACATCTACTAAAGCAACTAATGCCTTCCTCATATAGCTAAAAGTACTGAGTTTGAATAAATAAGCTAACATCTGCATAGATCCCCTCCCGCACACCTGTGTATATGGAGAGGGGAATGAAATGCTTGTATTTGCTTTAACCCATAGGAACCTTGAATTTGAGAAACTAATGGATGATAGACTAGTGAAGGATAATTAAGAAATTCTTACGGCATATCTAATTTCAAGGGACATCAAGGAAAAGAACTCCCATGCTAATTTCCGAATATAACATTGGTATCTATGTCAGAGACAGGATGCTGGGGAAGAGGGATCATTAGTTTGACTTAGAATTACTAACATTTACTTATTCACGGGACATCAATTTTTTTTCCTTCGTGCGTCCAACAAAAACCAGTCTACCAGACACGTGCCTTCCGGACAGGATCTGTCTGCCATTTTACTGATACGAAAACTGGCATTACATGAACTTGTATTATACTACAAGGTAGTATATAACAAGTCAGTCTGCGAAAGTAACAAAATCGAGGTATTATAACCAACAGGCACGAAACTGGACTCATTCCCCCAATTTCTCTCTTCTGCTTCCTATCTTCTTGGGCAGCCTAAGTATGAGAATCAGTTCTTTCATTAATTCAAAAAAGCATTTAATGTTCACCTACTGAGTGATGAGAAGGCTAGGCCCTGAGGCTACGGAGACAGGGCTCTGCCCTCCACAGGCTCAGTGAAGGGCTTCCATCCTTGAGCATCTCTGCACCCCATTTTGGGCTCCCTCGTCTGAAGTAATTGCATCTTTCTCTGTTCATTTTACTGCAATGACTGGACTCTAATTTTTTTTTTTTTTTTTTTTTTGGTCGCGCTGCGTGGCATGTGCGATCTTAGTTCCCCGACCAGGGAGCCAACCGCCCCCTGCAGCGGGAGCGCTGAGTCCTAACCACCGGACCGCCGGGGGGAAGTCCCCTGTAATTCATTAAGACTCTCAGACTCACTGAAGGCACACTGGCGCTCAGGTGTCCACCCGTCTCCCCCTCCAGATCTTTCTGCTCTCACGCTGCTCTTACCTCAGCAGTCTGTCACCCACTTCCATCCTCTCCCTCACAAACCCCATAACTCTCCACGGCGCGAACACTGAACCCAACAGCGTTCCAACACCCACAACAGGACTTGCGCGCGCTGAGGGGAACACTGCGCGCCCTCAGAGGAACACTGCGCGCCCTCAGAGGACGTGCGCGCGCCGGGGCGGCCGTGCGCGCGCCGGACGGACGTGCGCGCGCCGGGGCGGACGTGCGCGCGCCGGACGGACGTGCGCGCGCCGGAGGCTTGCGCCTGCGCAAATCCGCAGGCCTGGAGGCTTCCGGGTCCGTCGTTACGGTGGCTGTTGTCGCGTTCTCCCACCTTCTGGGCCAAGAGGCGGGACTGGCGCAGCCGCTCCTCGGCGCTCAGCGCCCGCAGACGCCGCTTCAGCTCGGCCCGCAGGCTCCGCTTGGCGCTGCTCACGGCCGCCGCCGCCGCCGCCATCTCGCGGGTGCGATCCAGGTCCCGTCTGCAGGCCGCCGGGTCCGCTGGCCCCCCGCTTCCGGGTCGCCGGACGCACCACGCCTCCCGCCCTTGGTACCCGAACTACGTGCAACCTTCGCGGTCAATGTACGCCCCTCCCCCAGCAAGTCGAGGGCAGCCGTGACAGATCTGCACGCCTGACCTCCCTGGGCCGGCGGTACTACTGGAAGGAGTTCTATAAAGACTCAGGATTCCCTGGGTGCCACGTGTCCTGTAGTACTGGGGCTCTCTGGGGCCTGAAAAGGCAAAGGCAGGCCGAATAGAGAAATTTACGTGATACACAGACCTGTTAGCTAAAGGGAAGATGACTTTTTTTTGTCTGTAATAACGCCTTCCTCTTTTTCTTTTCCAGTAGCTGGGAGGGAGCTGGTTTACTGCCGATGGGCGGGACAGATGCTTGATGAAGCAAGTGATTTTCTCTTACTGTCAGCATGTCTCTTCTGTTCACCTCTGGAGAACTCAGGACTGAAAGTTAGTTCATTACAGGCTCAAGGTCCAACAATATTTTCACTGTAGAATAACTGGAACTTGCTCCTACTATGAAAGTTCTGTTTCGGGACTTCCCTGGCGGTCCAGTGGTTAAGACAACGCTTCCAAAGCAGGGGGTGCGGGTTCATCCCTGGTGGGGGAACTGAGACCCCACATGCCGCATGGCCAAAAAATAAAATTAAATTTAAAAAAAAAGAAAGTTCTGTTCTTTCAGAAACTGAAGACTTGAGGAAGTGGAGACACCAAGAATTTTTTTCTCTTGCAGGGCATGTGACCTGGATTGGGAGGAGAGAGGATAGTAGCTCAAGGGAATAACTAGGCGTGGAGAAAGGCTCAGTAATCTGATGAAAAGGTGAGAAAGTTAATAATTCGGTGGGTAAAGAAAATAAACTGAAATTGTTGGAAGTTTAGAGAAAATAAACAGTGTGGTACTGCCACTTGAATATACAGTGGACCAGTGGAATAGGATAGAAAGAACAGAAGGAGACATAGAACAGACTTACTAGCCTCCATAATCACATAAGCCAATTCTTTATATTCTCTTTATAGATAGATATTGTCTATTTGTTCTGTATCAATACATACATATATATATATACACACACACATACACATATATCAGGAAATATTAATAGGAGATATATTATCAGGTATATATAATAAGATATATCCTACTGGTTCAGTTTCTCTGAAGAACTCTAATACAGATTTCTATATGCTAACAATGAATAATCTGACATTTAAAAAAAAATTCCATTTACAAGAGCATTAGAAAAATAAAATACTTAGGAATAAATTTAACAAAGGGAGAGTTAAACTTCTGAAAGCAACATAGCATTGTTGAAAGAAAGAAAACCTGTATAAGTGAAAGGACAGCTCATGTTTATAGATCGGAAGACTTCGTATTTTTAAGATAGCAGTACTCCACAAATTAATCTATAGAATCAATGCAGTCCCTATCAAATTTGGCCTTTTTGCAGAAATCAATAAGCCAATCCTAAAATTCATATGGAAATGGAAGGAACCCAGAATAACCAAAACAACCTTGAAAAAGAAGAACAGAGTTGGAAAACTCACACTTTCCAACTTCAAAAGTTACTACAAAGTTACAGTAATCAAGACAGTATGGTATTTGCTTAAAGATAGATAGGAGAATGTCATAGAATTGAGAGTCCAGAAATAAGCCTTTACGTTTATAGTCGATTTTTTTTTTTTTTGACAAAAGTACCAAGATAATTCTATAGGTAAAGAATAGTCTTTTCTAACAAATGATGCTGGGACAACTAAATGTCTACATGCAAAAGTTAACTCTAAGTAGATCAAAGACCTAAATATAAGAGCTAAAATGAAACTCTTGGAAGAAAACATAGGCATAAATCTTCATCACCTTGGCTTCGGCAGTGGTTTCTTATAACACCAAAACCACAAGCAAGAAAGGAAAAGTAAATTGGACTTCATCAAAATTAAAAACATTTGTGCATCAAAGGACACTATCAAGAAAATGAAAAGACAGCCTACAGACTGGGACAGAATATTCACACAAGTCATATATCTGACAAGGGACTTGTATCTAAAATATATAAAGAACTCAACAATTAAAAAAATATATATATATAATCCAATTTAAAAATGCGCAAAGGACTTGAATAGACATTTCTCCACATCAGATATCCAAATGACCAATAAGCACTTAAAAAGATCACCATTAGTCATTAGAGAAATCCAAATCAAAACCACAGAGAGGTACCACGTCTTACTAGGGTAGCTATGGTCAAAAAAACAAGAGATAAATGTTGACAAGGGTGTGGGGAGATGGGAACCCTTATAATGTTCTACATATACATACAAGAAGGGTGTGGAGAGAAGCCAAAATAGAACACAAGCAGGGACAAACAAACTGAACTGTATTGTCAGTGATTAGCATAACCACAACAAGTGGGTGGAGAAGAAAAAAAACTAAGTTAAGTAAGTTTGGAAAACAGTATTTTGACTGTATACTGTAAGGCCAAAGACAAAAATAACTTTATACAAATATTGCACTCAAGTTAGTACGTTTATTTTTCACAGGGGTGTATATTAACAATTGTGAAGCGACTTTATTCTAGAATTAAACAAATAAGGAAAGATATTATGGATAATGAGTCAGGTTTCTCCTTGTTGGAAAAACAAGTTACACATAAAGAAAGGGAATTGGGGAATGAACCCTGTGGTGCTGGATAATTAGAAGTGTCAGTATTGAAACTAACACAACATTGTAAATCAACTATACTCCAAAAGAAAACGAAGCGTCAGTATGAACCCATGATTTTAAATATATAAACAAATGGATAGATACAGAAATAAATAGAGATATGTATGTTAAAAGCACACATATATTTCCTAGCTCTGTTTGGGAGAGGGCCAGAAGCAGTGACACTGCAGTAGCAATGAAATATAGCATCCAGATCTTGATTTCTAAATATTCTCTGATAAACAACCAGGGCTTCTTGATTCTAGAGTTGAGGCAGGAACAAGATGGGCCTGGAACAAATTGTAGGGCCATAGAGTAAGGAAGTGATTTTTAAAAAAATAAATTTATTTATTTATTTATTTTTGGCTGTGTTGGGTCTTCATTGCTGCATGTGGGCTTTCTTTAATTGCAGTGAACGGAGGCTACTCTTCGTTGCAGTGCGCTAGCTTCTCATTACAGTGGCTTCTCTTGTTGCAGAGCACAGACTCTAGGCGCACGGGCTTCAGTAGTTGTGGCTCGCGGGCTCAGGAGCGTAGGCTCAGTAGTTGTGGCGCATGGGCTTAGTTGCTCCGTGGCATGTGGGATCTTCCTGGACCAAGGCTCGAACCCATGTCCCCTGCATTGGCAGGTGGCTTCTTAACCACTGCTCCGCCAGGGAAGTCCCTATGTTTTTATTTCTTTTGAATAAATACTTAAGAGTGGAGTTGCTGGGTCCTACAGCAAGTATGTGTTTAACTATATGAGAAGTTGCCTATCTGTTTTCCAAAGCAGTTGTACAGTTTACCATTATCACCAGTGGTGGATGAGAGTTCCAGTTATTCCACATCTTCCTCAAGGGTGGTATTATTAGTCTTTTTTATTTTAGCCATACTGGAGGATGTGCAGTGGTCTCATTGTGGTTTTAATTTGCATCTTCCTCATGATTAATGGTGTCCAGCATCTTTTCCATGTCTGTTGACCATCTACTTTTGTGTGTTCCAATTTTTTGCCAATTTTTTTTTTTGCGGTACGCAGGCCTCTCACTGTTGTGGCCTCTCCCGTTGCAGAGCACAGGCTCCGGACGCTCAGGCTCAGCGGCCATGGCTCACGGGCCCAGCCGCTCCGCAGCATGTGGGATCTTCCTGGACCGGGGCACGAACCCGTGTCCCCTGCATCGGCAGGTGGACTCTCAACCACTGCGCCACCAGGGAAGCCCTTTTGCCAATTTTTAAATTAGGATGATGGTCTTGTTGTTATCGAATTGTACGAGTATTATATTTATTCTGGATACAAGTCCTTTGTCAGATAATAATGTGACATATATTATCTCTCATTCCATGGCTTGCTTTGAGATTTTTTTTTAAACAGCTTTCTTGAAATATAATTCACATACCCTCTCTTTGAGTGCTTAACTGTGTCTTTTTAAAAGAATTTAAAAATTTTGGTGATTTCTAAATTACCATTTTTTTCTTTTCTGGTTCAGGTTTTTTGTGTTGTAGCTAAGAAATCTTTGCCTACTCCAAGGTTGTGAAGATTTTCTCCTGTGTTTTCCTCTTGGAGTTTTATAGTTAACATTTAGGTCTGTGATCTGTTTTCACTTTCATTTTTGTGTTTGGCTTGAGGTAGGAGTTGAGGTTCATAAAAGTCTTTTTTCTTTTAAGCAAAGTGCTAAACAGAACACACAGTGAGCTGCACTTTGAAAGACCAGGTCACCAACCAAGCCAGAAACAGAAACGGTGAGTGATATCCCAGTGTCACTTTGTTAAATAGATCATGGCAGTGTAAAAGCCAGGGTTTGTGGTTTCTTGTGCAAGTGTATTCCAGGTAGCAGTACCCTTACACATGCTTCCTGTTTATGTCCGTTCGTGACTATTCATTCCCACCACTTAGCTCTGATTAATGCAAAAATGAATTAAAACGTAACACATTTCAGAAGGGGGAGGGGAGGCACTTGGCTGAAGGAGGAAGAAGAAAATGCTCCCTGCCTCCTGCAGACACAAGCCCAGGTGGCCTAGGTAGTTGCCTCTCAGATGTGATTTGATAAGTAACCAAAGCTACTTTTGTCAAAAATATTTCCCTGCTGACTTGCCCCAAAGTCCTAATCCCCACCGTTAAGAATCACTATGAGAGGTAAAGCATGAATTAACTGAAAGCCCCTGTGAAAATGCCCATAGCCTGAAGGGGGTTGCTGGGGAGGGAACGCTCTGGTTTCTTTATTGGATCAATCAACAACTTCCTAGGAAAGGAAAAGCAAGCCCCAGTGGGGCAGATATTGTATTGAGGGAGGAAAAGGAAGAGTGGGAAAGTCGAGAACAGGGTACTGTGCTCCCATATTGCAACCAGATTTGCTGACCTAAAAATCAGAACACAGGGGCTAATAAATGACATAATTTTCTACTTTGTGAAATTTTTAAATAGAGAGTTTAACAGTGGCCCAATGTTGAATCGTTTACCTGTCTTTGTTCAGACTATCCCGGAGTCTCCTCCATATCTGGTTGCCATATTCGTCAACTTTACATGGCAACTCTAAAGTGTGGCAGAGAGGGCATTGGTGGAAAACCCTACGCAAGCATCTAGGGGCACTGGGGACTCCAGAAAGCTTGGAGCCCAGAGGTACATGGGAAGCAGACCTCACCCATCATCAGTCTAGACTGGTGACACCGAAAATGATTTTTGGGTAATGGACACACCCTTAAGAAAATCTGCCGAAGACATCACCTTCCTGGTCATCATTCTCTTAATTCAATCTCTGTACCCTGTATTGAGCTTTACCCTTTTGTTGGACCCGCAGGCAGGACACAAATTACGTATAGAAACAAATACATACAATTTATTCATTAAAATGGGGACAAAATTCCCATAACTCTGGAATGTCAAGTTATATCATCAAAGTTATTTGTTTAGAAGTAGAAGTAAGTGTTGGCAAGTGCTTCTTGTACGATTCAAGAAAATTAGGCAGATTTCACAATACGGAGTGTCCTTTTTGGTCAATAGTACTGCTTCAGGAGACATAATATTTCACAGATCTTTCCTGTAACTTCCAGAAAAGTCAGCCAGCCAGATTTGGGTTCAAACTTCTTTACAAAGCCATTTTCCTATGAGAGAACAAATTTAACATTTTAACAATTAGTGGAGACTAAGTTTGCTGGAATGAAAAGCAAAGAAACTTTCATTTAAATAATGCAGGTAGTCAATCTTCTCTGTACTTTCACCAGTTTTATTCTATTCATCCTATTATCATTCTCTATCTCCCATTCCAGACTGCTCTAGAGCAGCGCTGTCCATAAAAATATAGTGCGAGCTTCCTATGTAATTTTTTTTAGTAGCCACATTTTTTTTTTTTTTTTTTTTGCGGGATCTTAGTTCCCCAACCAGGGATTGAACCCACACCTTCTGCAGTGAAAGCGCAGAGTCCTAACCACTGGGTCACCAGGGAATTCCCAGTAGCCACATTTTTAAAAGTAAAAAGAGGCAAAATTAATTTTTCAAATATATTTAGTTCATCTAAAATGTTGTGATTTGGGGAGTTCCCTAGCGGTCTAGTGATTAAGACTCTGCACTTCCACTGCAGGGGGCGTGGGTTCGATCCCTACTTGCCAAACTAGGATCCCGCATGCCTGCCTCACAGCCAAAAATAAATGAATGAATGAATGAGTAAATAAATAAACTGTTATGATTTCAATATGTAATCAATATGGAAACAAGATATTTTACTTTTTTTTGTACTGAATCTTTAAAACCCAATGTGTGTTTGTACTTAGGGCATCTCTTAATTCAGACCAGCCACACTGCAACTGTTCAAGGGTCACAAGTGACAGCCAAGTGCTCTATTGGATGGCATAGCTCTAGAGGACAGAAAATCTATCTTCTTTTTCCCTCTTTTTCTTTCAAATGTCTGGTATTGAAATATGCATTTATATTTGTAAACCCCATTGTGCTGAGAGTCATAAGGACTCAACAGGAAAGCGAGATTAAATCAGTGCCTCTGAGCCTGTGAGAACATTGTGGTTTCCATTACAGTTCATTCTCTTTTTGATTAGACATGTTTTTTTTTAAAATAAGAGTATAAACCGGACACTGTGTGTAATTAATTTATAATCTATTCTTATAGAGCATCCTCACTGAAAAGTACCTATGAGATCACCCGGCCTAATGCCCTCTCTTATTTTCACAAATGAGGAAACTGAGGTCCAGAAAAAAATAAGTTACATAAGGTTACCTGACTTCTTAGTGCTTGGACCTCTACTGGGATGCAGACACCGTTCTTTGCACTCCGTAAATTTTCAAACCACCACCAAGAAGATTAGAAAATAGTTAAAATAATTTTTTTTTAATGTTCGTCCTGTAAACATTTGCTCTACCTCCAGCAAGTTCCATTTCTGGGGGTTACAAATGCCTTCAAGTAGTTCACAGTCTAGTGTGACTAACATCAAAATGTAAACCAAGCATATTTCTTTGACAGAGAACTCTGTAGTGCCTTGGAATTGTCTTTGAGCATCACTGGCAGCGCAGACAAACACCAGTCAGGTGGATTTTCCATTGAAAAGACTCAGCAAGAAAGCCAGCATCCACTAAGCCTCTGTGTGAAGTGTGGAGTCATGCTGGGAGATGCATGCTGTCACATGCTAACAGAGGAGACAGACTGCCCCTTCTCTTCTTCCTCTGTCCCCTGCCCTTACACACTCACACATTTCCCGTACATTCTAGGTGTGCATGCACTTCAGTGCTCGCCTTCCTAGAATTTTCACAAACCCCGTGTTAATGGGGCACTCTAAAATGATTTTTATTATTGTTACAATGATCACCATCTATTACAATTAGGCAGATAATATGTCATCCTCATATATATTAAAGTTCTAAACTAAAGCATGAACAAAGGAGGGACTTCCCTGGTGGTCCAGTGGTAAGACTCCGTGCTCCCAATGCAGGGGGCCCGGGTTCGATCCCTGGTCGGGGAACTAGATCCCGCATGCATGTCACAACTAAGAAACCCGCATGCGACAACTAAGACCAGGCGCAGCCAAAATAAATAAATAAATGAATAAATATTAAAGCGTGAACAAAGGAAAAAACTGACAAATTCAGCAATATGAAGATGAAAGTTTTTTTAAAACGATAAGAAACTAAAATAAGAACAACAGACCAGGAGACTATTTACATTTGCCATGAAAGAGTTCGTTGAAATGTAAGAGAAAAATCATCAAGCCCTTAATAGTTAAAAAAGGCAAAGGCTGGGCTTCCCTGGTGGCGCGGTGCTTGGGGGTCCGCCTGCCGGTGCAGGGATCGCGGGTTCGTGCCCCGGTCCGGGAAGATACCTCATGCTGCGGAGCGGCTGGGCCCGTGGGCCGTGGCCGCTGGGCCTGCGCGTCCGGAGCCTGTGCTCCGCGGCGGGAGAGGCCACAGCCGGTGAGAGGCCCGCGTACCAAAAAAAAAAAAAAAAAAAAAAAAAGGCAAAGGCTGTTAAAAAGAGAAATATAAATCATTAACAAGTATATGGGGGGAAGAGGGGGTGGGATGAATTGGGAGGTTGGGATTGCCATATATACACTAATATGTATAAAATAGATAACTAATAAGAACCTGCTGTATAAAAAAATAGAATTGTCTTTAAAAAAGTATATGGGAAAAAATTCCACATTACTAGCAGTTAAATAAATTCACATTTTAATATATGTTATTGTTTTTTAGACCTATTAAATTGACCTTGTTATCTTAAGCCTATTAAACCCTCAAAATTATATCTAATGGTTCCGCCCAATGCTGGTAAAGTTGTGACATTGTCCCATTGATACAAACCTTCTGAAAGCAATATGTATTCCAATATGTATAAGTAGTGTAATTATACTCATATATGAACCAATCATTCTAGTGTTAGAAAGTGATCATGAGGTGGTCTTCTAAAATGTGGGGGGAAAACCATCTTCATGTTCAGTATTGAAGCATTATTTCTAAGAAGGGAAAACAGAAACCAACCCAAATGTCTAACAGTTGGGAGTGGCTTAAGTAAATTATGATGCCTAAAACTGGAGGGATATTCTGTAGACACTGAAAGTGTTAACATGGAATAAGTGAGGCAAGTTGTTTAAAAAATCACTCTGACTGCTATGTGGAGAACAGACCATCGCAGGGCAAGCATGGAAGTAGGGACACTGATAGGAGGCTCTTGACATAGTCAAGTGAGAGAGGAAAGTTGCCTGGAGGCACTGGATATGCAGTATTTCAAAGGTGCCCCCAACAGAATTTGCTGATGAGTTGGACAGAGGGTATGAGGGAAAGGGGTCCCGGGTGACTCCCAGAGTTAGAGAGCTGAACTTAGGTTTCCTGAAGGACCCACAGGAAGACTTGAACTACGTTTCACCTTAGTTTTCATTAAATGATCTTTAAATCTCAAGTTAAAATTCAAAAGAAATACAAGACGAATCTGGCCCCCAAATCTATTTAATCAAAGGATATGTAAGAATTCTTGAGATTGTATTTCATTGCTGCTAGATCTTTACGCCTTTTGGAGATGCCTTTGCCGGATTGAATACTTAGTCAGTCGTCTACATGCCTGTGTGTCCTTTTATTTGCCTTCACCAGACCATTATTTAAAGCAAGACGATCATAGAAAAATACAACCTACTTTGCCTAACTCTTATGACTCAGACTTTAATATACTGGTCACTTGGAAAGCACCAATTCTGACTGTACATCCCTACTTTCAAAAGGGGCTTTCTTTTGGTATTAGAGTAGTTTTAAGAATTACATATTTAAACTTTCTGGAATTTCCCATATAACCTTCATAGTTGTATTAATATCTGACAGTTTACAAAGCACTCTTACAGAAATGTCCTTTAATCTTTTAACTTCCCTTCTAAGGTACGTATTACTGTCTTCATTATATATTACATATAACATAATATAATATTTATTATATTTATTACATTAGGAATCTGAGTTTCAAGTTACTTCTGAAACTCACTCAAGATCACACTTCTAGTGAATGGGAAAACCAGAGTTCAAATCTCAGTTTCTATGCTAGTTCATTCAATCACTCCATCAACAAATATTTGTTGGCTACCTTCTATACCATAGGCCCTGGGCCAAGCATGCAGTATTCGGTGGTGCATTAGGTAGACATGATTCCTCCCGTGTGGAGCTGAGGGCTGAGTGTCCTTTCCACTCAACCAGCACAGGCACAGGAGAATGCTTAACTGAAGAGGGCAAAAGTAAGAAAGCCACCTAGCTGCAAAGGAAAGGCAATCCCAAGGGGTGAGATGAATTTCATCCCAGGCACATTCTAATGGTTTTTAAGAACCAGCCTTTCCTCATGAATGCCAAAGACTGATAAAAAACAAATAGCACTAGCTCTCCTGTGAGATCTATGAGAGCCTATTCGTTTTCAGCACGTCAAATTGGCAGAGGGACAGGAGGAAATAACGGTAAATGTGGAAGAGGAATAGAAAGCGAGATGAGAAGCAGCAAAGAAAAAAGGAAAGAAAGAAAAGAAGGGAGAAAGGGAGGGAGGGAAGGAAAAAGGGGAGGAAGAAAGGAAGGAAAGTAACTCACTTAATGTCATAAATAATCTAATTTATGAGATTATGACCCCATTTTTGATACACTGGTCTTATTTTTTAACCTTTAGGGCATCTGTTTTAGATGGTGGCTAATATCTAACTATAGTTGATGATATAATTTCTGGAGATTAAATCTATTCAGGGAAGTTAGGCAATACTACTACTACTAATAACAATAGCTCTAAGCTTGTATTGAGTTCTTATTTGTAGAAACTGTGTTCTGGGTGCTTTATATATGATATTAATTGATTTAATCCTTACACCAGTCCTGGGAGATAGACGGCAATAGTGTCCCCATTTTACACATGAGGTTTAGGGAAGTTAAATAACTTGTTTACGTCACACAGGTAGTAAGCATGAAATGAACTCAGGTCCGTCTGATTCAGAGTTGGTGCTCTTATTATCTCTGCTGTCCTCACCTACCACATTCTTGATCCAAAAGTTTTCATAAAATCTCTGGGCACACTTAAAATTTAATTAAATATGGGTACTCTCTAGGTGTAGGTGAAATGCCCCTCTCATCTCTCATTATAGGCATGCATCTTTAATCTGGAGCCAATGACGAGCACATATGAATGACTGTGGACAGGACAAGAGATCAGTGATTTTTTTGGAGAGTTTTCCAGGATGGTAGAAAGTCAGACGTTGGTGCTTGCTTCTTGATGACGTTGTAAAATGCCTCCTCATCTTCCTCTCTTCCTATGGGCCACCTGACTCCACTAGCACAGGCATGGGATTGTACCCTTTCCCTGGAAGTAAGTCAGTCAAGAGTAGGTTCATTCATTCGAGCAGATTTGTCCACATCAGTATACAAAGAAGATACTGGTTTGCCATGCTGGTCTGTACTGATTCAAAAAAGCACTGCCCGTCTTGAACAGATTCAGTGTCTCCTATGAGCTGGGAAAGGACTATTGAGGTTGCTTTGAAATGACATCTTAAAGGGCATTTCTATTCTGTCTAAGCTGTTCAAGTGGAAAAGTCAAGAGCTTAAAACCTACATAAGGACTTGGTGAAGGCTGATGTGTGTGTGTGGGAGGGCACATGTGTGTTTATATCCTGCCATACTCACTCACACTTACACCTGTACCACCCCCAAAAGATGAGTACACTTCTAGACTTTCTCAGAGACAATTCCACACCCTCCACCAATTATGAGTTCCAGGAGCTTACAAAATTTATTAAGAAGTTAAAATTTTCAGTAACGTTTATTCATTTTCTGGGTGTTCCAAATACAGTGCAAACTCATGCAGAGCTTGTAAACTAGTATGCTCATACGTGGGCCTCCGTGCTAACAAACTTCTGCCTTCACTTGAAACCTACACAGCGTAATAGCTGAAATTTCCACCCGTCCTTCAGTATAGCTTTCCACAGCAACCAGAAAAAAACACGACCAAATATCTCACATGCTTTGTCTAGCCCCAAGTCAGGCTGAGTTCCAGGAAGAAAAGGTGATGGAGAAAGGGGAGTGGCTGCAGTAAGCCCTAACGTTATGCAGAAAGACCTCAACAAAATGCAAAAAACATCAAGTAAAAGATTTCATCAACGTTTAAGACATAAGCACCGAAGACATCTATAGTTTTAAAAGACAACAAATTAGAAGATATCTACCACATATATAAAAATAATTTGTGTCCAGAATATTCCAAGAATTCCTACGAATCAGTGAGAAAAAGACAAAATAATAGGAAAACAGCAAAGGATATAAATAGGCAGTTCTCTGAATAAGAATTACAAATGGTCAATAAACATATGTAAAGACGCTCAATATGAAAAGATGTTTAACCTCACTAGTAATCAAGGAAACAAGAATTAAAACAAGATAAATTAGGTATATATTTTTAAGCCAGCGGAATAGGGAAACTATGACAGACTACTATAACCTAATGTTAGTCAGCCAGGAAGGGAGGAAGTGTGGGATATTTGAACAAGCTGTGACGGGAGCATGACTTGGTAGAACCACTTTGGAGGACAAGAATCTAGTAAATTTTAAAAAGTGTTTACACCATGACCTAGCAATTCTATGTCCCAATATCCATCCTAGAAAAACACACACACAAGGGAAGACATGATTAAAGATATTCAATGAAGTATTGTTTGTGATAGCTCTGGAACTAAATAAATATCCATCAGCTAGAAATAACCATTCAACAGCATTTACATACAACAGCGTATATGTATGTAGTACTTTTTTTTTTTTTTTTTTTGAATATGCTGCGACTGAGCCCCCTACAGTGGAAGCTCGTTGTCTTCATTAACCTTGGACGGCCAGGGAAGTCCCTGTAGTACTCTTTTAAATACTTATTAACGTGGAACAACTAAGCCCATGCACCACAGCTACTGAGCCTGCGCTCTAGAGCCCGCGAGCCACAACTACTGAACCCCTGTGCCACAACTAGTGAAGCCCATGCGCCTAGAGCCCGTGCTCTGCAACAAGAGAAGCCACTGCAATGAGAAGCCCACACACCACAACGAAGAGTAGCCCCCACTCACCCCAACTAGAGAAAGCCTGCACACAGCAACAGAGACCTAACACAGCCAAAAATAAATAAAAATAAATAAATTTTAAAAAATAAAGTGCCCTTGGATGAAAAAAAAAGAATACCATGTACTATTTATACAAATAATTTATAAATACTATAAATTATTTAGTATTATATTAGTATTGTTACATAGTATTTAATAATTTATAACAATTGTTTTTACAAAGAAGTGCTGAGTATATTTTCTATGGATATGTTCAACAGGCATGTTTTGCATGTAAAAGAATTGATACCAGTGGATAGCTCTGGGAAGAGGGGAGGCCAGGGTTTGTGTTGAAGAGAGGACATAAGTGCTGTAAAAAATAAGTATTCAGTGTATTGGGATATAAAGAAAAGCATATAGGTCCAGCTGGGAAAGGCCCCTTATCAATATGAGTTGTAATATAGGCTCCCTGCACGATCTTAGCTTTTTGAGACACTGATAATAAAGTGAATTTTTATTTGGAGATTCTTGAATAGTTTCTTGCTGGTGGTGCAGTACATTATTTTTTTTTTAGTCACCAAGCTTTACCAGCCAGAATTTGTCATATTAGAAAACTGAAAAAAGAATCAATTTGTAAGCAATGAACTTGCAAAAATTTACACCTGTCTTTTGTAACATAATATCTAAATATAACAGCATCTAATACCAACTCTTTCTGTACTAATTCTACATTGTCATGAGAACGCTAACAAGAGCTAAGTCTCAGACTAGACTCTGACTCTAAAGATGCATTAGGGAGGTGCATCTTTTATTAATCCCCAAAACTCACTCCTGCAATTTACATGGTTAGGAATAAAAACTGAAACCACAAGAGTTTTCCAACTATAAAGTTTTAAGATTCATTGGAAATGAGCTAGAAATTTTATTTTAAAATTTTAAAACTTTTAAAACAAACTACCCAAGGAAAATATAATCCTTACGTAGTTTTTTTTTTTTTTTAATCAGCAAGGAAACTGTCAATTCCTATTTCAAAGTAAAGAACAACGAAGAATATTTCCATCACACATACCCAGCCTCCATTCTGCCTTATCCATTCTCCTGTGTTTTTGGTTATGAACTCTGCAACAAAGTAAGAAATCTCCTTGTAAGTGTCCACATCTGGGGCAATTCGCCTTCCTAGAAGTTTCTTGATGAGAATGCCTTCAAATGCAAATATGGTCACAATCCTTCCCCAGTTAACGATGCCATCTTCAAATTCCCTTTCCATCACTTGGTTGAATATTGTTCTGGCGGTGTCTATGGACACAACATCAATATTGTCCAAGCATGGTTTCAAATTCTTTTCAACTTCGTTTTGGACTGAGAAAGCAACGTCTTGTAACACCCTGGATGTTTTGCTTGGACCAGATCCAGGTTGCGGTATCTGCAAGACGTACTTCAGGTAGTCCTGGGCCAGCATGTGAATATAGCCAAACTCGCTGTCGGTCATCTTCTTCCTGCTGGAGAGCAAAGTCTTGAGCTTGTTCACCTGGAAGTGACCAAGGCAGTCTGAAGCACAAACTCACGCAGCTTCGCGTAATATGACACATGGTATCTGGAGGCTGGTGGAATTTCTGTTTGCATCACTTGATAGTATCCTTCCTCCTTGTCACTTTCATACGTAGGCTCTGTGTGAAAGAGAAAGTTTAACATGTGAAAGAAGAAAATGTTTCAAAGAGAGGCCACTTCCTCATCCTGTAAGTGATTAATGCAGGTTTTTTTGGTTGGTTTTTTTTGGGGGGGGGCACGCGGGCCTCTCACTGTTGTGGCCTCTCCCATTGCGGAGCACAGGCTCCGGACGCGCAGTCTCAGCGGCCATGGCTCACGGGCCCAGCCGCTCCGCGGCATGTGGGATCTTCCCGGACGGGGGCACGAACCCGTGTCCCCTGCATCGGCAGGCGGACTCTCAACCACTGCGCCACCAGGGAAGCCCTAATGCAGTATTTAAAGTTTTAAATTCAAGGATGTGGAGAAATTAGAACCCTTATACACTGCTAGCAGGATTGTAAAACAGTGCAACCCCTGTGAAAAGTTTAGCAGTTCCTCAAGAAGTTAAATACTATAGGGACTTTCCTGGCACTCGAGTGGTTAAGATTCCGCTTCCACTGCTGGGGGCACGGGTTCCACCCCTGGCTGGGGAACTAAGATCCCACATGCTGTGCAGCGCGGCCAAAAAGAAAAAAAAAAAAGAAAGTAAATGTAGAATTACCTTATGACCCAGAAATTCCACTTGTAAGTATATGCCCAAAAGAACTGAAAACAGGGACTCACACAAATCCTTACACACGAATGTTCACAGCAGCATCACTTAAAATAGCCAAAAGGTGGAAACAACCCAAATGTCCATCTGCAGATGGTGAGATAAACAAATTGTGGAAGATTATTCCGCCATAGAAAGGAAGTACGGATACATGTTACAGCATGGATGAACCTCAGAATCATGATGCCAAGTGAAAGAAGCCAAACGTAAGAGGTCACATATTGTATGATTCCATTTATGTGAAATATCCAGAATAAGTAAATCCAGAGACAGAAAGCAACTTGATGATTGCCGGAGGCTAAGAGGAGAGGGGAGTAACTGCTTAGTAGGTACAGGCTTTTATTTTGTGATGAAAACGTTTTGGAACCACATAGAGGTGGTGGCTGCACACCATTGTGAAGATACTAAACGTCACTAAATTGTTCACTTTAAAATGGATCATTTTAGGAACTTCCCTGGTGGTGCAGCGGTTAAGAATACGCCTGCCAATGCAGGGGACAGGGGTTTGATCCCTGGTCCGGGAAGATCCAACATGCCACAGAGCAACTAAGCCTGCGAGCCACAACTGCTGAGCCCGCGTGCTGCAACTACTGAAGCCCACACGCCTAGAGCCGGTGAACCGCAAAAAAGAGTAGACCCCACTCACCACAACTAGAGAAAGCCCCCACTCAGCAATGAAGACCCAACACAGCCAAAAATGAATAAATAAAATAAATAAATTTATTTTAAAAAACTAAAGGGGTTCAAGCTTCTCCATCCCTTTCCTTTCTGTTATTCATTTCCTAAGTCCAGTCTCCTGTCAAAACAGTCTAGTATCTATGGCTGCCCTAAATGTAAGAGATCCTCTAAAAAGTCACACTAGGAAATTAGTAGCTTGATATTCTACTCCCGAGCACCAGGATTATAGAAGAGGTTGATTAGAAAGGACTCCTTAACCCAAAGGAATTTACCTAGGATAGATTTCCTGATCTAGACTTTCAGGTGGATCATCATCCTCGTGGCAGTTGTGGTCACAGCCACTAAAGGTGTGATCACGGTGTTCCAAGCTCTCTTGACAGCATTTTACTCACAGTAATTCAAATACGTTAATCTTTACAACCCAAGAACTTCTGATAGAAGACAAAAACCTGCTATAAGCCAATACCTCTAATTCCTCTTTTTAAAAAAAAAAAAAATTATTTATTTAGGCTGCACTGGGTCTTAGATGCGGCATGCGGACTTCTTAGCTGCGGCTCGTGGGATCTTTAGTTGTGGCATGCAAACTCTTAGTTGGCGGAATGCACGCAGGATCTAGTTCCCGGACCAGGGATCGAACCTGGGCTCCCTGCATTGGGAGCTCAGAGTCTTACCCACTGGACCACCAGGGAAGTCCCCCTCTAATTCCTCTTAAGTCAGCCAAATTGTCCAATGTGTGGATAGAAATTAGGAGCCAGAAAGAACACTAGACTTGGAGTCAGAGGACCCAGCCTCGGTCCTCCCCAAATCCCTGCTCCCTTACTATGTGCCCCGGGTTTGTAAAATGCGACCATACACATTGACCTCAGAGGGGTGAGGTATGAAACAGATGACCCCTGTAGCGCCTACAACCACACCTGGTGCAGTGTGGGGGCCTAATCAGCCCTGGTTCCCCATCATTCTTTTACGGACTAATGAGAAATCGGGCTTCCCGGGAAAGGCATAACTTCCTAAGTGCACAGTTTCAAGTGAAATGCAAATCTGCCATTTATTTAGCTTTGGCACCAATTCTGGGAAACAGCTGGCAGACGTGGTGAAATTACTGGCTAAGAAGAGCACTGGGGGTTTGGGGGCGGATTTCAAGTCTCTTCACCAGAGTACCTGGCAATTAAGGCAGTTAGGGAACCATATCCCTGTCTGCTGGCTGCGTCTTACTGTCGACTGAGGAGCCAGTCTCGCTAGTAGGCAGGAGTAGTGGGTGGGAGAAAGAGGAGATAATGCAGGGTCCCTTGAGAAACGGAATTCACTTTTTTGTTTTCTATCCACTTATGGAGTAACTTTGATTCTTTGCATCAGTGTCTCTGAAGAGCTGCAAATAGGAAAAAAAAAATCCATTTAACTTGTAGTTCTGAATTATCTCCAGAGA